TGGGGAAAATGGCCGCGGATCCTGTTCATCACCCAATGCGGAGTTCGCGAACGGAAGCAAAATTTTGCGAACGGTGCTGTTCGTGAACTGATCATGAACAGAAGCGTTCATGAACCAAGGTATTACTGTATGTGTGAAGACTACATCTATGCCTGACATTAGGGAGAATGTCATCATTGTTCCTGTACACCAAGGGAAAGGTAGCACAAATGAATACAAAAGCTACATGGGGTTTGGAGTCTGCTAAGTGCACCTGGAAGAAATGTGGCAAAATTATGATTTAAAGGATGTGACAGCTGACAATGAGCAAAATTTGTTAAGTGCAGTGCAGTTTTATGTGAGGCAGGGAGTATACAGAGCAGATTTTTCTCTGTAGCAGGTCATTGAGAAATATATGAATGTAAGAAAGTTTAGTGTACATTTGTTGATTTAGAGAAAGCATATGACAGTGACTAGGCTTGAATTATGGAATTTTTGTGCAAATATGGAGCTGAAAGTTGCTTACTAAATATGATAAAAGCAATATATGATTGAAGTAAAGAATGTAAGGGAATACCTAGTGAATGATTCAACCCTAAGCAGGGAGTAAGTCAAAGATAGGCTACATGCCCTTAGTTAATGTACTTATAGACAAATATATAAGGAATGCTCATGGTGATGTGAAAGGTGTGTTGGTTGTGGGTGTGAATATATGTGTATTTTATAAGCAAATTATGCCATTTTATTAGCTGAGAGCACAAATTATTTTCAGCAACTGTACTATGATGTAATCAACAGTATAGATCTGAAAATGAATATATCAAAGACCAAGGTAACGATTACAAGTTATATATAAATGACAAAAAACTAGAGGAAGGAGGTATTTATGTACCTTGGTAAAACATTTACTAACATTTACTAAAGATGGGGAAATGGATAGAGAAAGGAGGTAGGTAGTATGCGGCCAAGTGCAGAGAATGAATATTTTAAAAAAAAAGTGAAAATGACTGTGCATAATGGCCTGCTTTTGCTCACTTTGTTACAAGTGAGAATTAATTAATTTAGGAGAAATAAAAGTAAGTTAAATACAGCGGGAATGGGATACTTTAAAAAGTATTAATGGTAAAAGAAGAGATAGGATCAAGAATGAATGGATGATGAATGAATGTGAATTAAACACAAAAGTAAGTGACCAGTATAAAAAAAAGTATATTGAAATGATTTGATTATATAGAGAGAGTGAACAAAGAACAAATCAAGAGTAAGTGGTTGAGAGCAAGGGAAGGCCAACAAAATCCTGGTTGAATGGAGCTGATGAGTTCCACACAAAAAGGGAGCTCAGAAATTTTTAAGAACAAAAGGCATTGTGTGAAATATGTATGGGTATGGTGGAAACAAGGATATTTGTAAGGACAGAATGGTATCTGATACAAATCAGCAAGTTCTGTGTGTTTTATCCCTTCTTATTCTGCCATCCCATCCTCGTCTATGGTAGCACTGAACCCAAACTTTGCTTACTTTTATTAAAGTTGCGGTGCTGGTTGATTCAAAGCAGTGTGTTTGCAACCTTAGTGAACTGTCTAGCGATATGCTCTTAATCCCTATCATTGCTAACTAACAGTTGTTTTCAATCTCCCATAAGGTAAGTTTATCTTTCAAACTTTTACGGATGAAGTTAATTATGTGGATCTATTTGATCTTGGTTCTTTGATCTATTGGTCTTTTTCAGTCATGGTTTAGTGTTGATTTTATGTTGCTTGTTTCCATGTATGAAACAAGGTGGAATCGGGAGTACATTTATGCTGATTCTGTTGGAACTCTTGTCAGTATTTATTACTTGTATCTTTCTAGAACATTTGGGTGATATAAGGATATGTTTTGAGGAAGTTCCATTTTTATTTGGCTGAACATCACAGAAGGTGAAATTGGGGTACTATTGTTTGCAGCAATTCATTTATGAGGTCCCTTTAGCTTCTATTTGACTTCTTACGCATTTTAGCATCTAGATAAAAGAAATGGGACAGATCGTCAGTTTGAGGATAGGGTATCATCACTGTGCTGATCATATATGAGTTTTCTCTGTCTTTAATTGATAGCATATAGTGTATCTATTGCAGTGGGAAAGGGGGAAGACTAGAATAATATGCCAGTACATTAAAAGCAGTCTTAAAATAATGATAGCAATGGCAATTAAAATTAAATTGTATGATAGCTTGATTCTGTTCAGGTTTTTTAGGTAGGTAGGTAGACATATTCATTTAAACCTATTCATTTAAATAAATACTGTTGTAATGATCTGGGTCATCAGCCTCATTTTTGGTCCTCCCCTCTAGTGATGTAACTTCTAATATAAAAAGTAATGGTCCCCCACAATGAAAACTACTCTGCTCAGTCCCTCTTCCTATGAGAGGAAGCCAAACATTGCTTTGCATACCTGTCATGTAAGCACTTGTCTGCATTTGTTGGTAGACTGAAATTGAAATCTGCTTAAAACTATTATCTTGAGTTTTTTTAAAAAAATATACGTTTTGTAGAAAAATATGACCGTGGTAGAGCTGAGACGTGTTCTTAGTATTCTTGTCAGCTTGGCGGGGGGGGGGGGGGGGGGTATTTTTTTTATTGTGGAGGTTTTTTTTTTTTTTTTTT